CTCCATTCTTAGAGCATCATAGGGGCATGCGTTAACACAGGTCTCACAACCAGTGCAATCCAAGGGCGAGACCTGGATCCTGTAGTGAAGACCGGCAACCTCGGCACCACCCTTGGCTTTACGACTATCAAAGGTACTCGGCTTGGCATCATCCTCAGCTTGGGACAACAAGAAGGGTCTGATGCAAGCGTGAGGACACGACATAGAGCAAATATTGCATTGAGTGCACTTGTCCATATCAACGATGGGGATCATCAAGGCAACGCCACGCTTCTCGACCTTGGCGGTTCCAAGAGGAACCTTACCACCGACAAGTTCGTCGTTGGCAAAAGCACTAACGGGAATATCATCACCGCGTTGGAGAGCAACTGGAGCCTGGATATTCTCAGTGAAACTTGGTTTATTGATAGCACTCTTCTCCTTAGCCAAGTTACCAAGAGCGTCATGGTAGTTTTGCTCAAATCGGAGCATACTATCCGAAAGATTCTTCCAGTCAGCAGGAACCTTGATCTCAGTGATCGCATCAAGAGCCTCATCTATCATCTCGTAGTTCTTCTGGACAACAGCTTCTCCACGATGACCATAACTCTTCCTGATGGTATTCTTGTACAAAGCAATGCACTCCTTGAAGTCCATCACATTAGCGAGCTTGAAGAAGACAGCCTGCATAACAACATTAATCATGCGGCCCATACCACACTTCTCAGAAACTTTGAACGCATCGACGTTGAAAACCTTGGCATTCTTTTCAGCGAGTGCCTTACGAACACCAGCGGGTACATGTTCGTTCCACTCCTCAACCGTAGTGAAGGGCGAGTTCAAGCAGAAGGTACCATTGTCCTTAAGATGATCAGTCATACGATACATGTCTATGTAAGTCGTATTGTGACATCCGACGTAGTCGGCCTTGCTGACGGAATAGTATGACTTGAGAGGCTCGGGACCAAATCTCAAATGAGAAACTGTCAAGCCACCAGACTTCTGTGAGCTATAAGCAAAG